AGCGGCCTTATCGTAAATAGGCCTCATGCTAAAGATGTTGGTGCACTGTCTGCAATTCTATTCTTGTCAAGAAAATGCTTTTGAAATTTCAAGGAGGAGAAATAAAATTTAGTAAAGCTACCAAACTAGGAAAGACTTAGAGGGTAAAACAAGTAAGAGGACAACACCCAGTACGAAGCCTGGGGAGGCCGTTGCCTGGTGAACACTATCCCGAGCGGCCACACACAGTTCCAGGCATGAAATTCTCCCTGTGGGATAAGGTAGTGGAAGGCCTCTAAGCCAAGGTTCCTATTCCATTGTTAGTGGTCAGCAAATGAAACACTATTCAATGTGCATCTCTAGGTGAAGGTAATAGAGATTGGGGTATTGACTCTGGATGCAAAAAAGAAAGGGAACATTTAGTAACCACTCCCACAGAAATGTTATACAAATACTGGTAAATGGCAGTTTCTCCATTTTCAGTGAAGTTAAGATGAAACAATACACCTGAAATGCAGCAGGTATTTATGTAAAAATTCAGACAGACCTTTCTGGTCTCTGAGGCCCTCAAATACGTTACTCAGTTGAGCAGGACTTGCTCCACAAATAAGGCTGGAGAACTTTCCAAGATTCCAAGTCATTAAGGCAGGGTTTCCAGAGAAGGCACTGCCACAGCCTCAACTGTTCTCAGAGATAATCGGACCTGATTCACAAAGAAAGCCTATGGAATTTTATGGACTTCAGACTTTACATACAAAGATGGGTGGCAACCAAGGAGGGGAATAAGGCAAATCTTTTTGAAGATGGGGCTCAGTCTACCTCATTTGCCTCATAACTGCACAATTGTTACAACAAATGAGAAATTGCAGTTAGCTTTCTTGCCAGACAGCAGAAAAATTTATATTTCTGCTTAAAACAGAATGATTTTCAATGTAAATGAATTAATAAGGTTAGAAACAAAGTTTCTTATTGGGAATGGCATATATAGACAGCAATGGGGATAGGGCTGGAGGAAGTACACTCCTTAAGCTGCTGCCATGAAAAACTTTAACTGCTAGCTTTTGCTTTACAAAACTTCGACATAAATCCCTTGACCTTTACCAGTTACCCTTTCACTTTTGACACTTAACATTTGCCACATAATTACAATTCAGTGTTAATTAATTTCAACACTATCAGTTAAGTTATATTTAGCTAAGAACACTCACTTTTGTCTTTTGTGAGTAGCAGTGCAGTGTTATTACAAAGAGGTAGTCAGGAGGGCAACAGAGATACGAGAAGAATGATTCAGTGTGCAGATAATTGTTTCGAGTGAAATTTAGCTTGGTATTTTTGTTCCTGTCCTCAGTAGAACTGAGATTTAGCACCTCGAGTTGGCATTTAGCCCCCACCCCCACATATGAGGAGGTTGTGCTGGGTGGGTGCTGAGAATAAGCCACACCAAAATTAAACTATAGCACAGTTCTAACACTGGCAAGAATTTTCTCTGGCCAGCTCTTTGGTGCAAAGCTGGTGACTTCAACAGAGAGGCAAGACATCCCTAAAAAGGAACCAAAATGGTGTGCCGTCACCCTCAAGGAGGGGGTCTGACATAGTATTTTTTTAAAAAGCATATTGTCCAAAAGGTGGAGACCATTCCCCACCAGAAAAGCAGTAGGAGCCAGAATATTTGTCTATTGCAGAGTTATAGTTTCTAACCTTAAAAAGTTACCCATGATTTTGACTTGTTGTATGTTCATTTTCATTTGTTTCCAGGAAGATTTTGATTTCTTTCTTGATCTTATTGGTAACTCATTCATTGTTTAATAATATGTTATTTAGCGTCTATGTATTTGAATGTTTTTGAGTGTTTTTACTGTAGTTAATTTCCAATTTCATGCCCTTGTGATCTGAGATGCTTGATATGATTTCAATCTTCTTGAACTTATAGGACTTGTTCTGTGTCCTAACATGTGGTCTATCTTTGAGAATGACTCATGTGCACTTGAGAGGAATGTTTTTTCTGTGCTTTGGAGTGAAATGTTCTATAAATATCAATTAAATCCATCTGAACTAGTGCGCCATTTAAAGTCACTGTTTCTGTGCTGACTTTTTGTCTGGAAGATCTATCCAGTGAAATCAGTGGGGTGTTAAAGCCCATTACTATGACTGTATTGCTGTTGATCTCTCCCTTAAAGTCCTTAAAGTTTTTATTGATAGGTCCTTATTGTCATTTTAATTCTTTATGCCTATGTTTCTCTATTTCTTATTATTATTACAAAAGTCCCTTTAAAGTTTCTTTCAGTGCTTCTATTTCTACTTCTAATTACAGCAGTCCCTTTAACATTTCCTGCAATGCTGGTTTGGTAGTGATAAACTCCTTTAGCTTTTTTTTGTCTGGGAAGCTCTTTATTTCACCATCTATTTTGAATGATAGCCTTGCTGGACATAGTAGCCTCAGTTTCAGATCCTTGTTTTACATTATCTTGAATACTTCATGGCATTCCCTTCTGGAAACCCAAAATCTATGAGACACATGAAAGCAGTCCTAAGAGGGAAGTTCATAGCACTATAGGCCTACGTCAAAAAGCAGGAAAAATTTTTAGTAAACTATCTGACCCTACAACTTAAAAAATTAGAAAGCTCCCCTGTGAAGCCGTCTGAATCAGGGCTTTTGTTTACTGGGAGTTTTTTTTTTGTTTTTTTTTATTACTGCTTTGATTTCATCAGTTTTGTTGATCTGTTCAGGTTTTCTGATTCTTTCTGATTCAGTTTTACATGATCTCACTCATATGTGGAATCTAATAAACAAAATAGACTGAGAAACAAAACAGATCCAGAGACAGAAGCATGGGACAGACTGATGAATCTCAGTGGGAAGGTGGGGGTTAGGGACTGGGTGGGTAGAGATTAATTGAAGAACTTATTTGCATATATACTAAATTCATGGACACAGACAATAGTGTGGTGAGGGCATGTGGGGGTGGAGGCTGATGCGGGTTGGAGGGGATCAATGGGGAAAAAAAGGGGGATATCTGTAATACTTTCAACAATAAATCAAAAAAAATTTACCCATGAGATTGTCTTTTTGGTGGTTTATTTCATAATGGGACCAAAAAAACTTACTAGAAATGGATAAAAACAAGATATTTGACATTTTTCTGAGTTTTTCAAGTGAGGAAACATTTTTTATTAATTTATGTAGTACATGCTCTTTTTTTGTGTGAAAAGATTATATAGGAATATGTATATGCAAATTTTGCTTTCACCTGAAGCTTGAAACACTATAAAACCATTACAACTTGCCATTCTTTGGGATGTTAGCCTGAAATTATTGTCCATCAGTTTACTGTGCCACTGAAATACTTCTGCCCTTTAGGTCCATGTACAGAACAGGGAGAGAGAAACTCTCCACTTGCTAGATAATGCAGGTGAAACACAGTGTAAGCCACCCATATATATCTCACTGAAGATACAGTAATAGTAAAAGTAAATTGAAATTTTTGTGGGTTTTTTTGACACAGTATTCTTAGGTAGACTACAGTTGTTAAAAAACAAGCAATAAAAAAGAAAACAATTTTATAGCATTTCATTTGTGGGATTATAGAACATTTTGCCTCCAGTAATTCCACTTTTATGTGTAGAATCTCATTCTATGCCTTCCCTCATCTCATCTTCGTCCTACAGCTGGAGGGCACTTGATCCCTGGCAGATGTTGTTTTCCTGCCCACCTCTTGGGAAAAAAACTACAGCCTCTATATGCCAAGGATTTGAGTATCTCTGGTTCAGTAGTCACAGAATTCAGCAGCAAGTCACATTTTTGCTGGTTGGACACTGTTAGATTGTTTCTGTCTTAGTAATTGGCCTTGAATCTTAACCCTCAAACCATGTGTTCTATCTTGTGTTCTTGATGGGGTGCTAATAAATATCTCTCTTGGTCCCAGTGCATGAGAATCTTGTCAGTCCTCTGAGATGAAGTCTCTGGCCTTTTTTTTTTTTTTTTTTTTTTTTTTCC